CGACATAGGCAGTCAAGGCAGAGGTGCTACCCTCCAAGATGTAAGTGGAAAACAAGTCGAGAGCCTAACCACACCATATCCTATCACAGACCTCAGCATCAAGATGAACCTACCCGACTGAAGAGAGAATAAGGAGAATTCTTGTCTGTTAGAATACGCTTCAACGCGATAACGATAGCAGACTCCGCAGACTTTGTAATGTCCGGCTTGCCCTCCGACCAAGCTTCCAATGCTGTGATGCAAGAGTCGGCAATATCCTGTTCACCGATGGTATTCCCAAACACTGGTAGTAGGACCTGTCGAAAGGCTCCAACAAAACATACCATCTCTGCCTCAGCCGTACCGTTTTAATGTACCGACAACGGGCCTCAGTGGTATCGCATGAGTCTAGTCGATAGCCGGTGGGACGAGGAACTACGTATTTACTGAGAGCATCAGGGACCTCCTTAGACATGTCCATGCAGGTTTTCAATACTTGCCAATCGCTACACCAGAGCATGTTACTGACATAGGGACATACTACTCTAGTGGTGAGAGGCCAGTGCGTACTGTATAAATGCTGATCCTATGGCCTGTACAATATCCTTATGAACATGCTTTCTGGCACCATCACGAGTGAATAGACGATACTTCAACCAGTACTGCCGACGATCGATAGAGCCGAACCTTGCAGCAGCGTGACATAACTCCTTGTGTACCTGTAGGACTATGAGGACCCTCCGAAGGGTGATTAAGACTACTGTCAATTTAATTGCAGTCCCAGAGGATTTGCGAAATGTAGCTCCTATGAAATCGTCGAAGAGTTGATCCTCAGTCAATGTAGTGGACGCCACTCTAGCCAGACAGAACCTACCGCATGCCATCTCTAGCCAAGCATAGCCCACGATACACTACGGAGCAGTCCTAGCAGCATCAGTGGTGAGGAGCTCCGGCCTTAGAAATACCTTCCAATAACAGTAACCAATCGACAGTCGTGGTTGATTGCCACCTTAGCTGACTCGGCGTCCACTGTATCCATCCTTGATAGTAGTTTCAAGTCAACTTCCATCAAGGCGAGGGTATCATCATCGTCGTATTGCCGCTTTTGCTTATCATCTACCACAGGGTTGTCACTGAGTGATGAGAGATTGTCCTCAATCCCTGAGAGATAGTAAAGACTGAGCACAGCCACTCGATGGGATGAGCTCACTGTTGACGAAGTAAGACGGGCATACTGTTCGAAATGAGGATAGCACATGGTGATGCCTGTTCAGATCGTTAAAGTGGATCCGATGACAGGAGTCCTACTTGGTACGGTAACTAAGGCTCTTCCTATCCTCTCTTTCTAAGCTGAACTCTTTTCCCACCATCCGATCGATCACCTAGCAATCGAACACATGATGATGATGATGTCCCAGTCAAGTGCTTACAGCAACTTCAGCATCCGTCC